TACTATGCAATTCATGCATATTCCATTTATCTTTCATGGCATTATAGTTCACTTGAAATGGCCCATACTCAATCGGTAATGAGTTAAGAATAAAATGAGCAAGGAAACTTTCATCCACAGTCATGCCTAAGGACTTAAGCCTTGCAGCAATGTTCGTCATTTCGACGACATGCTCATGCATGGTACACGAACCATCAAACCTCATGTTGGTTAGTGTACTCATTAATGTCCTAACAAGAGACTTGTCAGCAGTTTGGGAGCGCTCTTCCACATTTTTCATAAATTGTTTCACACTTTTAGTTTTGGAAAGAACTGTCCTTATATTTTCTGCTACACTCATTCGCATGAACACCAGGCTAAGTTTGTTTGATCTTTCCCAAGCTTTATAATGGGTCTTTTCTTCATTGCTGTTAGTATCAGTAATATCAGTAGGCTTCTTCTCTTGAAGAGGAAGATCAAGGTCCAAAACACCAAGTAGAATATTGGGAACATTTACTGCATAATTAAACATACGTAAGTGTTTTGAGACATAAATACACATATTACATATACAAGACATTCTAACATTTAATGTATACTAATGTTCTCCTTTGGGTGATACATTAGGATACATGACATTTAAGGATGCTAATAATACACAATCAGTCGGCAATGAAACATGTACCAATTAGGAATATCTACTACCTTTGGGTATATAAATAAATTAATGGCACATATAAATTACCTACAATTATTCTCATTGATTATAAGAACAATTAATCAACCTTTGGGTGACCTAGAAATGTCTCATAACAATGAATTTCAATACATACCTATAAACCAATAATAATATGTTTAGCATCCATTATCCTATAGGTAATTGAAATGAATTATCATCAATTTGGAATTTAATAAAATTTATGAATTTGACCACTTTGGTGATTAACAAAATTCATCATGTACTTTAATCCCAAACAAAGTATTATTCTTCAACAATGTTAATTTTAGTAGTCGTGTAAAGACATGATAATAAATTGACTTTCAATTACAATGATAATATAATGAACTAAATTCTGCAGCAATTGTCAATTAATCAATAATGCATTTGTACAGCTTTTAGCAATTAATTGATATCAAAAGCAAATTTTCAGTGCAAATGCCAATCAATCAAATAATTCAGCCAGGGTCTCGCAACTACGTACTTTTGAAATATAACAATAATAATAATAATATGAATACTTTATGGCAAAAGGCAATTGACAATTAAATATGGAATCGTACGGTTATTGGAAATCAAAAATTTCAAAAGCTTACTCCAGTACATACGCAAATAGCAATTAATGAGACCATTTCTAGAATCACAGTGCAAATAGTAATTATCATAAATCTTCGTGCAGGAAAAATATTAAGATATTACTAACACAATTCACATAATTAGAAACAATTCTGATTTCAAATATACGTGCAATGGAAATTAAATTGGAAAAACATATTCATGGAGAATCATAAATTTTATAACCAGTCTCTGATACCACATGTAAGTTTCTTCAATGTTAATGGTAGAAAATTATCATTTGATCTTGAAATTTAGGATTCTCACATATCACACAATTGGAAGATGACTAACCTTTGTCCATTAATGATTAACAGAATTGATTCAACGATTGAATTTCCTTGATGAGAGAGAGAAAACCGATTTCTACCTCCTTGGCCTACGCTTCTATTTTCTCTACGTTATTGATGGTGAGAGGAAGAGAAAATACTTTTTCAGTCATAAGAAGGGCTTGTTTCACGTTCCTTTAATTTAGGTGAATCGTTACAATTGCTAACCCCATCAATAAGCAGTTTATTTAAATTTGAAACTGCTTCCCATTACTCAATTACAATTTAGTCGTTAATAATTTAATTATTTATTAAACCCCAGATAAGTCACATGCTCCTCACATGAGACACTTAAAGTCTTACAATTCTTCCTTGGCACAATCACGATCCCTTCAATCAAAGAAACTCTTTACTCTGCTTGGGAGAGATGCAACACTCTCATCATGTCCTGGCTTTTGACTTCGCTTTCCTCCTCTATTGCCCAAAGCGTCATCTTCCTTGAAAATGCTACCAACATTTGGAACGACCTTCGTGAATGTTTTTCACAGGGAGATCTTCTCTGCATTGCAGAGCTCCATGAAGAAATCTATGGCCTTTCTCAAGGTAACCGTCCTGTCTCTGAATTTTACACTGCCTTAAAAACCCTCATGGAGGAACTAGATAATTATCGTCCTTTTGTTACCTGTTCTTGTGAGGCCAAGAAATACCACCAACAGGATTTGGTCATTAGATTCTTGAATGGATTGGATGAACGTTTTTCTGTTTTGCGTTCCCAAATCTTACTTATAGATCCCCTTCCGGCAGTCAATTGAGTTTTTTCCATGGTGGTCCAATAGGAACTTCAGCTCAGTGTCGTCCCTCCTCTCTTTGCTAAACCTAATAGCTTTGTCAATGCTTCCAACGACTTCGGCAAATGTCGCAGTGCATCTAGTTTGTCGTCCACCAACAAAAACGCTTCTACCCTGGCCGCCCATGGTTCAACAACCGTGACTTCTCTTTTTTTGCCAATAGGGCTGCTGCTTTAGTTGACCTAGTGATGGGACCAGCGGCTTCTTCAAGCCCTATTACTTTGACCCAAGCCCAATACCAATCTCTAATGGCCTTGATTCAACAGCCCAACTCTGCTCCTGATGCTATAGGGAACAACCTTGTCCAGCCCAAAAGCGTCAATCTTACTCAAGTTCCTTTTAACCAAAATAATGATTCTAACTTTAGTGGTATATCATTTGTTTTTTTGTAAGAGTACACACTTCACACACAATACTTCTTCCACCACCCATAAACATAGTGTGCCCTGGATCATAGATTTAAGAGCCACAGATCACGTTGCATCTTCTTTAAAATGTTTTTCTAGTTATTCTAAAATAAATCTTATTTAAATTAATTTGTCAAATAAATCTAATGTCATTGCTTATATTTCTGGAACAATTATTTTTTTCTCCAAATTTCATTCTTCACGATGTCCTCTTTGTTTTTGAATTTCATTTCAATCTCTTGTCTATATCTATGTTGCTTAAGACTCGTAAATTTACTCTTATCTTTGATGATTTCTTTTGCACTATACAGGACAAGCGTTCATTGCAGATGATTGGTTTGGCTAATCTAGAACAAGGTCTTTACCATCTAAATATCAACAAAGAAGCCAAGGTCCCTCAACCAAAAAAAAATCTTCAATAATACTGTCCACACCATCTCTTCTTCTAACCTCTGGCATTTTAGACTAGGGCATCTCTCGAGAAACCGTTTAAATATGTTACCTGAACAATTTCCTTTTATTTCAAGTCATGTTAATGAGAATTATGACATTTGTCATTTTGCTAAACAAAGAAAATTGTCTTACAATCTTAGTACTAGTAAAGCTTTAAAGATTTTTAATTTAGTCCATATGGACATTTGGGGTCCTTTTTCCAAAGCTTTAATTCATGGAGAAAAATATTTTTTGACCATTGTAGATGATTTTAGTAGATATACATGGGTAGTATTATTAAAGTCAAAATCTAAAGTTAAAATGCATGTCCAAAATTTTATTGTTTTATAGAAAATCAATTTGATTCCAAAATAAAGTGTATTCGTTCAGATAATGGACTCGATTTTTTTTTAAAGATTTATTTGCCACAAAGGATATCATTCATCACACTAGTTTTGTTTACACACCTCAACAAAATGGACATGTAAAAAGAAAAAGATCAACACATTCTTAACATCAACACATTCTTAACATTGCACGTGCCCTTATGTTGCAATCTCAATTACCTGAATATTTATGGTCTTATGCCATAAAACATTCAGTCTTCCTTATTAACAAAATACCTTCTCTAGTCACTAATAAACAAACACCTTATGAGCATTTACATAATCATAAACCAAATTTTTCAATGCTTAAAGTTTTTGGGTCTTTATGTTATTCTTCAACCAATGGACCTCATAAAAAATTTAATCCTAGATCTAGACAAGGTGTTTTTCTTGGATTTCAAACTGGAACAAAAGGGTACATCATTTTAGATTTCCAATCAAGAGAAATTTTTATCTTAAGAAATGTCATATTTTGTGAATCAATATTTCCTTTTGTTCAAAATAATCAGGTTCCCAAGGAGACCCAACATGGGCCTCTACCTATGCCAACTAATGCCCAAAACCTTCATGAGGAAAGCTTAATGCAAATGCCCAATATTTCCTTTTAGATTTACCATCGTCTTTTTTACCTTCACTACAATTGCAGCTTTCCTCAACATCTCTACAATCAAGTTCTCATCAATCTGTGATACCCGGTTCCCCTTCTTCCACCCTCAACACTCCTTCGCACCATAGTCTCACTCCTACACCTACTCTCTTTGTCCCAAGATGCTTTTCTCGACCTATCAAACCCAATGTTCGCCTTGCAGACTATATTTGTAGCTTCGAGACGAAGCTAAATCAATTATCATCAACATGCTTGTATCCTCTCCAGTCTGTTCTGTCTTATTCTAACATCTCTGAGTTTGAGTGTCACTATATAATGAATTTATCCTCTGAGGTTGAACCTCAAAGTTATCAGGAAGCAGTTTTGAGTCCCTGTTGGGTTGAAGCCATGAAAGATGAAATTGAGGCCTTAAAACTCAACAACACCTGGGAAATTGTTGATACTCTAGCTGGTGTTAAACTTATAGGATGCAAATGGGTCTACAAAATTAAGAGAAAACCAGATGGAAGCGTGGAACGATGCAAAGCGCGATTGGTTGCAAAGGGTTTTTCTCAAGTGGAAGGAATTTATTTCTTTAAAACATTCTCTCCCGTGGTAAAAATGGCCACTGTCTATGTCATCCTCGCTCTTGCTTTTGCAAATAAATGGCAGCTTCAACAACTTGACATGAGTAATGCTTTCCTTCATGGTGACTTGTCTAAAGAGGTTTATATGACAATTCCTTAAGGATTGCAAAGCCATGGCTATTCTCAGAGTTGCAAACTCAAAAAAAACTCTATATGGCCTCAAACAAGCTAGCCGTAAATGGTATGAAAAGCTTTCTGATCTACTTATTTCATTTAGTTACAAACAATCACATGCAAATCATAGTTTATTTATCAAACACGATGGAGATAAATTTACAGCTTTGTTAATCTACGTGGATGACATTGTTTTAACTGGGAACTTTGCTGCTGAAATGGCCCAAATCAAATATGTTCTTCATTCGAATTTTCGAGTTAAAGATTTAGGAGCATTGAAATACTTTCTGGGCTTAGAAATAAATCACTTTGCTGATGGCATGTATGTATCACAACGTAAATACTGTCTTAAGTTGCTTGCTGATTCTGGAATGTTGGGTTGCAAACCTTGTTCAATGCCTATGGATAGTTCATTGTGGCTGTGTCAAAATGATTCTAGTGATCTTCTTGATGAACCTTTATCCTATATGCGTCTTGTTGGTCGTCTAATTTACCTCACCACAACCTGTCCTGACATTGTTTGTGCAACCCAACAACTCAGCCAATTTATGGCTCATCCCACAAAGTCTCATCTAAGTGCTACAAGGAGAGTCTTAAGATACCTGAAGGGTTTTCCAAGCAAAGGTCTTCAATTCAAAAGGGACACTCTTATACATTTAATTGGCTTCAGCAATGCAGATTGGGGGACTTGTGTTGACACGCGCAGATCAAGCACAGGTTATTGCTTCTTCATTGGGAACTCTCTAGTGTCATGGAAAACAAAAAAGCAAAGTACAGTGTCTCGTTCGTCTTCAGAAGCGGAGTATCGTGCTCTTGCTACAAGTACATGTGAACTATAGTGGCTCACATATCTTCTCAATGATTTAAAAATACGTTGTTCCAAACCTACAACATTATATTATATTGTGACAACCAAAGTGCACTTTACATTGCATCAAATCGAGTGTTTCATGAGAGAACAAAACACTTGGAAATAGACTGCCATCTTGTTTGAGAAAAGGCTCAAATAGGTCTAATGCGATTGTTGCTAGTTCCATCCTCTCATCAGCTTGTTGACATGTTCACTAAAGCATTACCACATCGTCTTTTCAGGTCAAATGTATCCAAACTGGAATTGATTGATCTTTATACACCTCCAGCTTGAGGGAGGCTAACAAAACAATGGCCCAAACCCGTATAACCCTATAGCTCTCAACTTGTTCTAATTCTTGTAAATATTTCTTTATATAAACATTTTCTGTTATGATCCTAGAGTAGATTCTAGAATAGTATGAGCTGTAATTTGTTAGGCCAAAAAAACATTCTTTGGCCTTATCCCTTTAGAGTAATACGTGTATATAACATTGTATCTTTTTGCTGAAATTAATAAGAACATAGACAAAATTCATTCTCAAATCATTACCTCAGTGTCCTGAATATCTTCTCTCTTATCTTTATTTATTTTACTTATAGCTACACAGATACAAATGTAACCATCAAGTAGGGGTGGGCAAAAAATCTAGATTTATCGATCCAATCTATAACCATAACACATTGGATTTAAAAATTTAGATTTTTAAAATAACCAGATACCCTATCCACCATTTTTTATTATTCAGATATGAATTAGATTTTATTTAACAAAACTAGATTTAATTTATCAAAATCCGGTTTTGTTCTTTACATGTATGACGTTTCATATTTGGTGTCCAATTCTTAAAACTGTAGGTTCTGGATTGTTCTATTTTTCATCTTTTCTCAATCGTTTAATCTTAATTTATAAATTATCCGCTTAGCAAAGGCTATTAATTTGTTTGATAGTTAAAATTGTTGAGTTTTGCAGCATGTATCTAGAACTTTCTATAACGACACAATAATAGTTACTCGTTTAAATAAATAAATAATACTAAAAATACTAATAATAATAATTAATTACTTTAATAAAAAATATATTTTATAATTATTTTTAATAAAATAATAATTTTACTATTAGATATAATTTTAATATTTTAATAAATCAGCCTATTTCTTCTTCTTTTTTATCTTCATTTCTTTCTCCTAATTATTTTATTTTTAAAATACATCTATCCAAACACTTTTTTAAAATTATTTTATCTTTATAAAATTAATTAATGTTTACTTTATTTTTTATAAAAAATTATTCAATATGTAAATTTATAAATAATTTAAAATCAAATTTAAAATCAGTTTTAAACTAAATCTAAATTTTAAAACCAGTTTTAAACTAGTTTTAAAAAATAAAATAAAACAGTTTAAAATTTAATCTATATAATTAGATTTAAAATGAATTTAGATGAATTTTATGCAAATCTAATCCATGCTCACCCCTAACTAGAGTACCTATTGTATTCATATTTTATTTTTAATAAATGTTGATGCTTAACAAATATATATATATATATATATATATATATAATGTTATATTATTTATTATAAAATTTAAATTTTTTTAATATAATAATTTAATAATAATAATAATATAGAAAAATTATAGTATATTTTTACTATATGTAAAAATAGTTTAAAATTGAATTAAAACCAAATTTAAAATTTAAAATCAAATTTAAACCAATTTTAAAAAAAATAAAAATATATTGATTTATAATTCAAATCATATAATTGAATTATAAATAGATTTAGATTGACTTTTTAAAAATCTAATTGATGAACATTCCTACCGAGTGCACATGGTGAAATGGATGCTGAAACGGTTTAAAATGTGAAAGGAACTTCATTGTAAATTGCAGGACCCCATGTAATCCAAATTAATATATTTTCTTCTAAAAAAATAAAAAGGAAAACGTGGTAAAAAATACACATATGTATATGAAATTGTGACGTGATTTGTTTCAGTCCTACTAGCCCAGCATTTTGTAACTGACGCTTATCGAGGGGCTGACGGAGTACAACTAATTTGATTGAGGATTTCCCTTGGCATCCAAAAGAAAATATACCAAAGAGAAACATCCTCTGTCAAATGAACTTCTTTTTGCTCCCTAGAAACTGGCGAGTCAGGAACTACAGGGCTCCATAAACTCCGGCCAAATTACAAATCTATTTTAAATGAGAAGGGTAAGATAATGACATTTTACAGATTACCAAGAGCTGTGCTTGCGTGAGGGTTTATGCGTGTACGAGAGGGATCCACGCTTCAAATGATAATTGTTCCTATGTAGCTCACAAACAGAACTATATTGGCCACAACACAGATCCTCTAGTCCAAAAAGAGCCGAAGAAATTATCAATGTGATAGTCTACGAGAATGTCTTATTGTACCTTCAGGTGGAGTGTGCGAAGTCAGACCACTTAAGTGGCCACTTGCGTTACCAACTGAATTGACGTCTAAACCCAAAGGACGAACTGGATCGCCTCCTTCCAACACTCTGAGGATCTGCAATTACGTTAAAAATAAAAGGGAATTCACAATATTTAATCTTAAAGCAACAAATTTTTATTAATGAACACAAGTCAATCAGACCTTTGACATTGGGGGTCTGGCATCAGGATCCACACGTAGACACAATGAAGCAGCTCGTGCCATGGCTTGCAATTGAAGATTAAATTCTAGGGACGCCTCAGAATTCAAGCATGGGTTGAGAGATCGAACGTTTTGTAAGATATGATCGGGCTCTAACATGCGTAGAGGGTGAAACCATTCGGAAAGATACGAGTGTCCATTGAACTGTTCCAACTCACTAATTCTTCGACCGGTAATTAACTCCAATAAAACAATTCCAAATGCATATACATCTACTTTATATGTAAGATTTCCAGCGTCAAGATACTCCGGTGCGAGATACCTAGTTTTATGTAAGGTAGCCTTGCTTATAATCAAAACTGTGATGTCTGATATCTTGATGGGATGTGTATATATATGTATATATATATATATATACACAGAGAGAGAGAGAGGAAAATACCCTGAAGTTCCTATAACGCGATCTTCAGTATTGATATGCCATTCTGAGTGCCATCTAGCAAGCCCAAAATCAGCCACCTAAATGAATGGTAAATGATCGGAATTAACAGTAGTATTCTTTTGATTTGATCCATGCATTATCGTTTGAATTTACACTATTGCAAAAATTAATAATAATTGAAAGTCAACTATTTGGCTAAAACTTCAAAAAAAATGCGGAAGGGCCAGGAAGTTACCAGAGGCTCAAAGTCATGGGTTAAGAGGATATTTTTGGGTCTAAGGTCTCTGTGGACTATGCAACCAACTCTACAATCTTCATGAAGGTATCGCAAGCCTCGTGCTGCTCCAATCGCTATCTTTAAGCGTGAGTTCCAATCCTGAGGCATACTCTCGTCTCCTGTTAATCAAATAATGGACTATGATGTGAATTCTCAATATCTCATTGGAAAGTTGGATAGAACATTTAAGTACAAACTACAGAGAGAGAAAGGGCTCTAAAAATGTAACTGAAATGAAGAAAGTTAGTGAATACCATCTAAGTAGAGGTCCAAGGATCCGTTACATATGTACTCGTAGACCAAAATCCTCAAATTGCTCTCTATACAAAATCCTATCAACAATACAACATTTCTGTGCTGTGCACAGCTCAAAACCCGAACTTCCCTGCTGAAATCAATATCTGCTTGTGAGCCACCAAACTTTAACTGTTTCACCGCAACAACCTGGCCATCTTTTAGTATTCCTTTGTGGACCATACCAAATCCACCTTCAGCCAAAAAATTAATATCTGAGAACATATCAGTAGCTTTCTCTAGCTCTTTGTAAGAAAACCGTCTAGGAGGCTTTCCAAACACTGGTGCTTTATTCTGACACTGTGAGCATAAGGGAGGAGGTATCGAGGAAGTTCTGCCCAAAGGAATGGAATTATCTCTGATGCCCGAGTTGGCAACATAACTTCTATTTTGGGCTTGCTTAAATCCATGCTCATTTGTCCTCATCTCTTGATCACAATGTATAAAGTTATCAAGTAAGGTTTTCGAAGTTGGAGATTTAGTTCTTTGGATAATTCTGTTGTTTTCAGTTTTTTGAAGCTTCTCATCTATAATGTGGTTTTGAGGAATCCAAAATACAGTCTGGATATCATTAGCCACAGATGATGTTGGGCGAGGGCGAGTCCATAAAGGGGGAGAGACATCCCTTTCCAAATCGAAGTATAAAGATGGCTGAATGTTTAAATCTTTTGGTTCGTTGATTGGTTTGTGTGCTCTTTTCTCCGGACCCTGACCCTCGTACAGAGGGTTTTGTTCATAGACTAGGAAAGGGGAAGTTGTCGAGTCAGAACTTGAGACTGAATTTACTCCGATGTTTCTTGTGACAGAAGTACCCGTCTCTTCAGGGCTACTTACTGGGGTGGAATGCTTCAATTTGCGGCCATTTAGCTTTCCGATTTCTATACCTGGCGAAGAAGCAGCTGAGAAAAAAGGAGTTTGGAGGTCATCGGAGCATCCTAAGTTAAGCCTGAGGATTTTTGCCTGTGACCCATTCATCACCACGATGCTACAGTTGAGTTCATCCATGCAATGCTTTACCTCTTGCTTTAATTTCCTGTTTCAGCAACGTTAGGAATTCATCAACAAATATTTCGTTGGGCAACGCAGAAAAATTCTACTTATTACTGATTATAAGTTATGTGATGCAATTGTTCAATCAAATCCTAGTAACTAGTTCAAACAAGTTGGTATGATCTTCCAGTGGAAACTCTCAGTTCTAAAAGATTCTCTTCCCACACTGAGCCACCATCTTCTCCTTCCGTAAGGGCGATTCTTCTTCAAACCTCAAATATAATGTCGCAACTTCCATTTCATTATTTATAATGCTTATTGAACACTGCTCTGATCGGGAGGAAAAGCACGCAATCGGCGCCTTCTATGCTTAATGGTAAATAATAATAATTGCTCGTTTTAGACGGTGAAACAATAGTTGAGCCTGTTCAATGCATATTTCAATGGAGCAATTCAATGATATGACATGGCTCTCAAGTATAGCTAAATCTGTTGTTGATTAACAAAACTCAATGCAAATGTTCTGCAAAGAATATATGAAGAGCAGAAATCACCCATCTACGTGTCAATGCGAGGTACGGACGGAAAAAATTGAGAAAACATATTTGCAATCAACTAACAAACCAATAGCTCAGAAAAAAGAAATACTTTTTCATGTTTAATTACTTGTCCAGTATGACCCAATGGGAACTGCTCCATCTAGCTTCAGCCGCCACAGCACCACTGGGAGTACCCGTGACCACCTTAATCTTTACCCGAACCTGCATTCATAAAAACTACAAAAAAGTCAATTTCTGATGTACTGAGCCGTACCTTGATATATAGTACACTTTTACGAAAAATGCATTCTTATGAACAATTAAAACAACTCCAGTGTAGAAATGAAAGTAGATAGATTTTGATTGCGATACTATATAGTCTATGTTCTATTCTTCACATTTTATAAAAAGGCCCAAATTCAAACTCATACACCTAAACGAAAAAGTAATAATTTACTCATGCCTCTTGTCAATCGGCATCTTATATCGATTACCTTTATTTTAGTAAATAAAATATCTTGATGAACTAGTGAAACAAAAATATTATTTTAATATTAAAATTATATAATAATTAATTAAAACTTTAACTTCTAACTCAATAAAAAATCATCCAAATATTTTTTTAATTATACATATAAAATATAATCAAAAATGTGTATGCAGACTCATTTGATGGATAACTTTTTTTTATCACAAGTAACTTTATGACTATCCGTTAATTTGAGCCCAATTGTCGTTGGGTCGTCATTTCCATCCCTTCTTACAGTTTCAAAAATACAACAGCCGTTTTCCTGGCCATTAAATTCTGCATCCCTTTTTATCCCATGTGATATATAAATTAAAAACCTACTTGTAATGGATAATTTTTATAAATATTCACTCTGGCACCTATTGTCCTTTCTAGTCATGTCCATACTGTCTCATATTAATTCAACGTCCTGTTTTCTGGTCCTTGGATTCAACATCTCTCAAAGCAAGTCATCCATTGACATTCCAGTAATTAAGGCAGACCCTAATGCAAACACACTGTTTCGAACACATTGTTCGCCCGGACCGTATCTACGGGAGTACATGACTAGTGAAAGGGTTAGTACTCAATCAATTTGTACCAATAACGCGCGCCCATTATGAAGAAAATTTCTCGTCTTCTTAGAGTACATGCTTTTTTTTTAAATAACTGTCCATTTTTTATACGGTTAGTTTTTCCCAAGGGATGCGTCCGTACATATACCTTCGCCTAAATTTTATAGTTGGCAGAATATAAACTAATTAAAACAAATAACTTTGAATAGCCTTTACACCTCCTCAATCAGATAATTATTATCTTCTCATATATAAAATGACAATTTCTTTTCTCCGTTTGGCTACCTTAACCTTAAATGGACGAGCGTCAACTTTTTTTTTTCTGGCTAGTTTTACGAAGCTTTATGCATGTGCAATTATTGATAAATCATTAAGATCTTTATCAAGACAATATTTCTAAAGCAGATGTGAATCGAACATACTACAGCCAAACCGGTACAGCTGATTGGAAGGGATCAGAAACTTCCTCAACTCTGACAGGTTACAGAAAAACAAAACCGATAGCATATACATTGTCTTTTTTGGTGAAGAAACTACATTTTAAGTGATTGATATAAATAAAATGGACAAAAACTATTAGTTAAAATTTATTGTCCAAAATATTTGCCTCCGTCCATGAAAAAAAGAAAGAAAGAAAGAGAATGAGACAAAACCGACAGCGTGAACATATGATAAAGTCATAAAAAAATGAAAAAAAGAAAAAGATAAACAACCGATTCGGCGAGTAAAAATCCAGGTTAAAGAAATCCAAGTCGTTTTCGTTCCGCTAAACGTTAAGAGCCGAAGCGAAAAATTCGAAAGAGAGTGTGGAAAGTACCAGTGACAGCGGGTATGGGTAAGCGGTTGATATATGAGTGCGTGATTTGTCAATTTTAACATTAATATTATTATAATTTTTTTAAAATGTGAATCTGATATAAAATATGCAGCACAAAATATCGAACACAAGTTATTAATTAGTCCGTAACCAGTATATATATAGTTTTAACTTTGCAGTTCATGTAAATTTCAAAGTTACCTCAATTTGATTGTGCAACTGAAGCACCATCTGAGCACAAGACTCGGAGATATAGGAAATTCGCTCCGGCAACTTTCCGGCATGTCCATTCGTACAGTCTCCGGCGAGTCTCGAAAAGTTCCAGAACCTTCTGCCTGAAATACCACATCCGCTTAGCATTTCCTTACCCAAATTAATTCACCAACCATACATAATTACTTCAAACTTTAGTTAAATCAATTGAACCAGTAATAAGAATTAACATTTAAATTTTGTGATTAAAATTGAATCAATTGAATAAGGTAGGTACCAGTTTTGAGAGGAGAATAAACGGCGAGGAGCGTGATGGAGTCGCTGGAGTGAACGACATGAGTGAGGGCCCATGCCAATGCCGTGTTGGAGATCACTCTCTCCGCTTTAACGGCAACAAGAACCTTGTTGGAGACGGTGGTCGCGCTGTGCCTTGCACTTCTAGAACCTACGCTTTCGTCTCTTAGCATTGGTGCTTGAGTTTCAAAGAGTGGAAGATGAATGAATGAATGAAGGTTTGGATCGGGTATGTTGTCTCGTTCTCACGTATGCATTGCGTTGCGTGTGACTGTGACCATGATCGTTGCATTATTTTGCGGACTTAACTTGGAGCCTCCATGTCTCCAACTGGCATTTTCTAACCATGGTTCGTTAACCTAACCAGTGTTAAGAGCCCTGAGGAGTTGTTACTTGTTCCTTTGTAGGGGCCTGTTGTCTGAGTCCTGTGACGTAGCACAAAGGAAATTATAGGCCACCGCATAAATATAAATTAAATGTGAAATAAATCGTGTGCTGTAAATTTTTTATTATTTTTTTGGAAAAATAATATACATAAAAACATTAGTTGAGATTAAAAAATTTCCTTTTGATTTTATATCAATCTTTGACTTCCCAAAACTCAACATCAGTGTATGAAATAGGAGTTTTGTTTTTTATTTAAATAATTTATTTCATATTAATTATTGGTTTATATAACATAATACCAAGTCTTTGATATATTATGCACGATAGGATCCCAATTTTATGCAAGTTAGTGTCTACGTTAATTAAGCTGGGTCCAATTTTATTAACTAGTATTAATCTGACTTTTTAAGCTGCTAATACTACACTTACATGGCTACTTATGTTTGACTTCTGGTACAACTAAGATGACAACACTTTTATGGAAACAAAATTGATTAGAGTTTATGTTAACAACTTTAACATGCTATATATATGAATGAAATTATATCTAATATGATATATTGACATAGTTAATGCCATATTAAGAAAATCTTAGACGTAGTTTCTTCTGCCCATCGAATCCACTCAGCTTGTACATCAAACAGAAAATAGGTTTCAAGCTATCTCTTTTTTTTCTTTTTACGCTTTAGTATTTTATTTTATTATATATTAAGATGTAAAAGATAATAAATAAGGTCTCTCTTAAGTGTCTGGTATTTTTTTGGCAATTGTTGCTAAATACACTTCCTTATAAGAGTTTGTTGATTGATCGAAGTGTTCAAATTGATGATATAACTTGTTGCTTCTGTCATAGTTTGGAAGAACTTCTAACTCATTTATTTTTAACGTGTTCAGTTTCATCTCAAATCTAGTACTTTTATGCGCGTTGGCTGAGATTCTCACTGGTTTTACCTTCAGATATATCGACTCACTTGCTTTCTTGGGTTGGTGTTGACTGTAATAAAAGAGAAGGGATATGCCTATTAATTATTTGGGTAAGTACAATGTGGTCTTTGTGGTTACATAGAAATAAAATTGTATTTTCAATGGTGTTTTAGATGAGAGGGAAGTTCTAGATTCTATTATTCTGAGGTCCTGGAAATGACTATCACTTGTTAGTAAGGGAAAAACTATTTTGTTAGCAAATTGGTATTTGAACCCACAAAATTGCATCCGTCTTAACTTTGTATAAGTATATTTTTACTTTTTATTTTTTCGAGTTAGTAATTTTTTTCTGTGTATGTGGGTTTTGAATTTTCCTTGAACTCTCTCTAATAATATATGTTTTGCCTATAAAAAAAGTACAATAAATAAATAATATAAAAAAAAATCAAATACTAATCATTTTCTGATTTTTATGTCAAAGTTTAAACGTAAAAAATACAGATATAATAATAATGAAAGATCGAATGGTAAAACTTTTTTCTCTTTATTTTTAAGGCCGTATGTAGTTTGTTCTTTATCTTTCCTTGTAATAAAAAATAAAAACTATTTTTTTTCTGAATATTTACACATTCTTCTATCCTTCATGCAATGAATGTATCTAATTATTAAATAAAAAATATTAAATATTTTTCATAATTTTAAGAAATTAAATGAATATATTTTTGTTTAACATTTATTTTATAAAAATAAAAAAATTATTTAAAAATATGTAAAGTATATAACAAAATTATTTTTCCCAAGTAATAATCCATCATGTTACAGATAATGATCGCATTAGCAATTTACTTTGACACAGTGGCACAACCGTTAACAAAAATGAAGCTATACAATAAATCGTAAATACTTAGTGTAAATACAATTACTAAACATTAGCTCCCTTTCCTAAGCAGAAAAAAGAAAATACAATTAATAAACATTAGTTTATTATTTTAAATTTTAAAAAAACTTTTAATTAAAATATTAAATATTATTTTATTAAATAACATATGCGTGTGACAATAGTTAATAAAGCTCATTAATATTAGATAAATTATGTGAAAAAAATTTATCAACTGCCAAATATATATATATATAGAATATTCATTTTATTTATTATTTTTCTTTTAAATTTTTAAAAAATTATAAAAATATATTGAACGAGTATCATTGGTAGTGAGTTATAAAACGCTTGTGAGATTGATTGCTCCTGCATTATTCATTTGACAATGTCCAACTATTTGATAGGTTAATTTTTTATTGGTAAACATCAATTCTATTTTTGATAAAATATTTCAACAGCACAAAAACATTACTTCAGGAAAAGAGAGAACATGATTCAAGGAATTGATGTGTAATTTTTGTTTGAAAACAGAATTTTATTTTAAAAAAGGTTGAGTAGATACAATGTAAAAAGGACGAGAGACGCAATTGACGATTATTTTATTTGCTTTGATTATCTAATAAGACAATGATGGGTTGTTAGTAACGCCACATAGCATCTCACCCACCGCCCAATTATTGTATCCGAGTACATACTTTGCTTTCTTCAATACATCCCTCACTTCTCCAATCTCCAATGAAAACAAAATCTCGTAGTAATGATGCAAAAAGTGCTTCATTCCAGTGAATTATTATGTAATTCAACGTACCAGCAAGAGTTGGACCAAGTTGCTCCCATTGCTACCCAAACCGGAAAATTGGCTATTCAACTGCTGTGACTGTGTTATTGCCTTCTCCGGATAAATTAGAATATAATGGATGAATAAAGTGGACAACCGTAAGTTTGTATACAATATTTATATTTTATATGAAATCATTTTGTATAAATCAATGACAATATTTATATTATAAATGATACTATTTTAAATGAAAAGTGCAAAGTGAGATATTTAATAAAAAATTTATTTTATAGTTATAAGTAATTTTTTTATGATTAAATTTAACTAAAAATAATATATAAATTTATTTGAGGAAAAGAAAATTTTTTAAGTTACAAAGGTCCCTACTAGACTTTTGTGGTGGGACATAACTATGTCTTTTAACTAAAATCAAAGAACCTTAGGTTTTTAGGTTCCTACATTTTGATGAACCATGAACTTGTAAAAACATCTAAGTCCTAAAATTTTGTTAAATGAACTACTCTTCAAGAAGTTTTGGAAGGTCTAGAGAAGAGTCTCATTATGTGCGGAAAAAAGGAACACACTTCGAGGAGATTTAGAGGGTCTTGAGAAGAGTCTTATTTCTTGTCAAAAAAGAATGCTACAATTCAAAGAGTTTTGAAAGGTAATGAGAAGAGCCTCAATTTTTGTTGAAAAGCGAATTGCCTTTCAAAGAGTTTGGGGAATTTTTTTAGTCCTAGATTGAAAACACACAAAACTAGTCGAAAAAGAGGGTCTTCAATAGATTCGGTTGAAACTTGTTTGTCGACAAGGGGAAATATTCCTAGTCCTCGAGATTTGGAGCTAACAAATTTTTCTTAAAAACTTGTCAAAAAAGAACTGAGAAGAAAAAATATTCTAAGTCCACGAGACGAGAGAAAGTTCAAGGATTTTTCTTAAAACTTGTCAAAAGCAGGAGATGACAAGGTAATTATTTTAAGTCCACGAGAGTTTTCAACAGATCTTCTTAAAACTTGTCAAAACATAAAGTGACAAGGAAATCATTCTGGTCCTAAAGACAAGATAGAGCTCAAAAGGTGAGGAAATAGGTAAAAAAAAATTACTATCAATGAACAATTACCAACAGTTAACATCAATTAAATATTTCTTCATTATTTTGCTATTATTCTTGCTCAATTACTTGTTTTACGACACCAATTTCATTATCACATTCACAACACATTTAAAAGAATCTAAAGAGAATCTAAAATTTAGTTTCAAATTGCTCTTGAATTTATTTGTTTACAATCTGTAATTTTTACCGTAAACAAAATTATATTTTCTTTTTGCAATTAGTTTAATTTTTATTTATTAATCTCATTCTAAATTTTAACAATAAATGTTTTTACTTAATTTTTTACTATTATTTATATAAATTTTTATAAATACTATATTTATCATTGTCATTGAACGTGTGAATTAATAGGTAGAGATTGAAAAATTTATTATTAAATTTATTATTATATACATATATATATATATATATGTGATTTTTTTATTAATCAATGAGGTTAAAAAAGTTTAAAGAAAAACAAAAAAAAATTAAACTAAATACTTATAGGTACAAATGTCAAAAACATCTAAACTCAAGAAAGGTGTTTGGGGTAAAAAAAAATTTCTAAGTTATAAAAACATATTGGAAGAAGCTACATTTCGACGAGTTTTAGAGGATCAGAAAATGAGCCTCATTCTTTAGTAAAAAGTAGGCTTGAATCCAAAAAGTGATGGAAGGTTGTTTAGAACCTTAATTTCTGTCAAAAAGTCACATTTCAAGTTGTTTTAAAGGGTTTTGTCACATCCCTGATTTCCTTCAAAACTGCTTAAAAGACAAAAAAATATTATGAGTCCACAAGATTAGAGGTTTTTTTGAGAAGTTTTGAGGAGTTTTCAAGCCCATGACACCCAAAAGTTGCTCAAAAAATAGGAAATGATCAAAAATTATTCTGAGTCCACAAACCTATTTGAGCTCTAGATTCCCTCTAGAATTGCTCAAAAAACAGGAATAATAGAGGAAATATTCTAAGCACACGAGACCAAGAAGAGCTCTAAAATTTTCCAGAATCAGTCGAAAAGAGAAGTCAAGGAAAAATTATCCTAAGGTCATAATGTTATATGAGCCTCTTAGATTTCTCTCAGAACTGCTCGAAAGATAGAAAACAAAAGTCCAAATAGGATTCAAAAGCTATTGCAAGGCTTAGAAGCGGTGGGCTCGAACATGTTCAAAACCAACTACCGAAATTTGGTCTATGATGGCCAGAGAATCGACAAAGAGAGTTTCAAAACGTTGAAGTCCCTCAAGAAACGGAGAAATTTGATGTTTCAATGAGGTCAGCAGATC